GGTGGCGGCGGCGGCTGCGGGTTCCCCCCATTCCCCCCCTGGCCCTGATGTTGCCCGGCCGGCCGGCTCCGAGGCGGTGGCGGCGGCGAGGCTCCTTAGGCTCCCTCGCCACTCCCCCCCCGCTGCTCGCCGCTTCCCTTTCAAGCAGCGGCGGCGGTAGCCTCGGTTGCCAAGCGTTTCGTGCACATGCGCACGGAACGGTCTTGCACTTTCGGGGGGATTTAAACATCCCCCCAAATTTTTTTTCAAGGTTTAGCATTTTTGTGCACACGTGGGGACTGGCCCACGTGTGTACAAACCTCCCCCTCCCCCCCATGTGCCCCCGGAGCGCTGATTTAGCGATCCGCACTCACGGGGGCAACTTGGCTATTAGATATATAGATATGGATTGCAGTTTGTATGCAGAATTTCCACTTGTAGATGCAATTTTAGCCTTTCTGCTTACAGAAATTTCAGCATTTTCTTAAGGCATTATAATAGGCAGGCTTGAAACTTGTTTACATCTTGTGTATCAGAACACAGAATTAGCCAACTCATCTGCAGCAATAGCAACATCAATAACTATGCACTTGCGACATTACAGTTTCTATTATTGTTGAGCTGGTGTATTAAAACATCTAAGCACTAATTCTTTCCACCCACTTACTGCAAACAAGTTTATAGGTTAAGCATATCAGCTAGAAAATGCCAACCTAGCTGTCTGAATTTTTGAAATGGTATTAAGGACTTTCTCAAGTCAATGCTTGAAACAGTGCTTTAGTGTCATGTGCAGCATGCATGCAAACATATGGGTAGAATGTGCAAGCCAGTTTGAGTTCAATTCATGATGTCATAATAAAATTTTGAACTGGAGACCAAATTGGTGTGAATCACTAATGGCATAGTAGTATGGCATCCTCAGTGCTAATGTGCCAGAAGACAAAAATAGACATGATGACATCCATGGATCTGACTGGCGGATGCTGGTGCTACTTTAAAGTGATTTAGAAATGCTATGAGGACCCGATCAGCATCACAGTCTGAAGCTCTCTCATTTCCCCTCCCTCATGGCTTATCAAGGGCCAAAACAGCAACAGTGGGGGATGCAGCTGTTTCAGCAGTTGAAAATCCATGGGGAAGAGTGCCTCATCCTGTCACGCTGCAGGCCAAATCAAGACTGGTCCCTCACAGTATGTTTATACTGCTTTAAAATTGTGATGGCATCCATGGGTTGGACCTGTAGACAGTGTCGCATCTAGTTTTGCCCTGAGTATGCACAGCTTTTGACTTCTCCAAAAGGATGATTAAACCAGATCTGACCTTGCAGTAATATGTTAGGTTGTTGTGGCATCCTTTTGTTGTTCAGTCGCACAGTCGAGTCCGACTCTTCGCAACCCCATGGACCAGCTCCCGCCAGGCCCTCCTGTCTTCCGCCATCCTCTGAAGTTTGCTCAATTTCATGTTCGTTGCATCTATGACACTGTCTAGCCATC